TACAGAGAATGGCGGACCCTAAAAAAAATATTAAATTTTCCCTCGCCCCTCATATCATTTATCGCCCCTCATTATTCACAAATTCGCCCCTCACCCCAAATTTTCACCCTCGCCCCTCATTTTCATTCACCCTCGCCCCTTTAAAATCACCCCTTGTCCCTTATTTTATCACCCCTTTTATATAATATCACCCCTTGTTTCCCTAAATTCCCTCGCCCCTATATTTTATTTCCCTTACCCCTTTCCCTCGTCCCTCGCACCTCGCCCTCACCCCTCGCCCCCCCGTTTTTCACCCCTTTAAATTCCCTCACCCCTATACCTCTCGTCCCTCGCCCCCCAGCATTTAAAATTAAAAATTCTTCAAAATCATCCCTCGCCCCTATTTTTTCGTCCCTCGCACCTCTAAAATAAAAATAAATTATTTTTTTCCTTTTATCGTTTATTAACCCCTTCCCTCACCCTCGCCCCCTGTCCCTCAAAATAAAATATATTCCCTCGCCCCTCACCCCCTTGCCCCTCGCCCCTTAAAAAAATTTTTTTCCCTCACCCCTTGTCCCTCGCCCCTCGCCCTCACCCCTCGCCCCCGTCCCTAAAAACCCCTTATAAAAAATTTCAATTCTCATCCCTTTTTTTTCATCCCTTAAATTTCGTCCGCTTTTTTATCCCTCGCCCCTCAGCCCTCATTAATTATAACCTTATTCCCTCATTATTTACCCCTCCTCCCTTAAATATTTTTACCCCTATTCCCTTTTTTTTTTATTATTATAATCCCTTTTTATTCTCCCCTCACCCCTCATTTATATTTTTTTTTTTTATTCATAATTCACCCCTAGCCCCTTGCCCCTTTTTTTTTTTTTTTTTTTTTTTATAAATTCAATTTTATCCTCCCTTTTTATATAGCCCCTTTTTTAAAATTTTGCACCTCACCCCTAGCCCCTTATTTATTCGTCCCTTTTTTTTAGCCCCTCATCCCTTTATATATAGCCCCTTGTCCCTCACCCCTCGCCCCTTTTTATTCAATTTTTTTTTAATCGTTATAATCGCCCTTCACCCCTAAATATTATTGTCCCTCATTATAAATATCATTTCCTCCCTCGCCCCTATATCATCCCTTGCACCTCACCCCTAGCCCCTTGCCCCTCGTCCCTCACCCCTATATTTCATCCCTTTTAAAAGCCCCTTGTCCCTCACCCCTCGCCCCTTTCCCTCACCCCCAGCCCCTCGTTCCTCGCCCTTCATAATTTTTTTGTCCCTACCCCCAGCCCCTTGTTCCTCGCCCATCAAAAATTTTTAATTTTCACCCCCAATATATTCCTCGCCCCTTTTTAAAATATTAAAAAAATCACCCCTCGCCCCAATTTTAAAATTATTATTTTTGCCGTTTTTCTCTGAGCTTTTCTTTTGATGATAAAATATACCCGGGAGAAGGGTGGGGGCAGGATTAAATTGGGGGCAGGGTGATGCATTTTTTTCATGCATTTTTATTGTTTTTTGAGCATTTGTGCGTTAATTTAATTTGGCATTTTTTTTATTAGCCAATAGATAAAAATATTATCTGTTTTTATCATTTGCTGTTGTTCATTTTTCTCATTTGCGTCTTCTTCCCGCCGTTCTCTGCCTTTTCTTTTTTTTTTAAGTATTACGAGGATAATAAATTTTTTTTTTATAGCAGCCGCCATTATTTATCATATTTCCTTCAGGAATTTTTTTATAGTTTTGCGGAGATACTGCATTCGGATCATCTCCTACTGAGAGAAGAAAGGCTACTTATGGGTCATAAATACAGTGACCTACGGCCCATGAAGACACATTTCGGGATGTCCATAAAAATTTTTATTTGAAATTCTAATATTTTTAAATAATATTGTTATTTATTATATTTTTTTTTTTTTTTTTTTTATCATGGCCACTAATTATAATTTTTTATTTGCACAGTTTTATTTATTTATTTTTTATTATAAATTTCTTTATTATTATTTATTAGAATTTTTTTATTTAGTTATATTTTATTTTTTTTTATTATTATAAAATTTTTTTTTTTATTTATTATTATTATTTCAGGTATTTATATAGTGCCATCAATAATTATATATTTTTTTTTTTTTTTTTAAACATATATATTTTTACATTCACATCAGTTGACCCTCATTTTACAATCTAAGGTAATTAACTCACATTCATATACATATTAGGGCCAATTTAGACAGGAACCACTTCACCTCCCAGCATTCTCTTTTGTGGGAGGAAACCGGAGTTATAATAGGAAACCCATGCAGGCACAGGGAGAACATGCAAACTCCATTTATGGTGCCGTGGCTTATTAACCATTTTTTATTACTGCCAGGGGGAAGTAATAAAAAATTTAGCAACTGTTTTGCCCATTTATATATATTTTGTTATTATTATTATATATTTTTAAATAATAATTATTATTATTATTTATTATTATATTATTATTAATATTTATATTTTTTTTTTATTTATTAAATATATTTATTATTTTTATTATTTTTTATTTTAATTATTATTTATTTGTATTATAATTAATATTCAAATTTATTATTATTATTTAGATTAAAATTTATTTTATTTATTATAAAATTAATATTTAAAATTTAGTTATTATTTATTTATTATTTTTATTTATATTATTATTATTACCATCATTAATATTTAGATTTATTTATTATGCCAAAGAAGGACATGAGCGGGACTGTGCTGGACTGTTATACGTTTCATCTTCTCAGTCGCTCATCGGCATGTTTCCGCAGAACCTGTTTGTGAGCAACTATTTTCAAGGATGCAGCGGTGTCACTGAGGTTGGTGTCACTGAGGTTGGTGTCACTGGGGTTGGTGTCACTGAGGTTGGTGTCACTGAGGTTGGTGTCACTGGGGTTGGTGTCACTGAGGTTGGTGTCACTGAGGTTGGTGTCACTGGGGGTTGGTGTCACTGAGGTTGGTGTGTCCCTCCCAACGCTCGAGCCGTCACAAAGGCCTGCAGGCAGTATTAGGGTCAGACAGTTCCTGATGGCTCAGTCCCTAGGAGCTGTAATGGATGATGGGTCCTCTCCTTCCTTCTTACCCCCCCTCATCCCCTCTTCCCTCTCAGTCCCTTCTCACCCCCCCCCCCACTCTCCCCTCACAGTCCCTTCTCACCCCCCTCTCAGTCCCTTCTCACCTCACCCCCCTCCCCTCAGCGAACTCTCACCCCCCCAACCCCCAAAAAACCCTTCGCACCCCCCCCCCCACTCTCCCCTCACAGTTCCTTCTCACCCCCCCCCCCACTCTCCCCTCTCAGTCCCTTCTCATCCCCCCCCTCCCCCCCCAGTCCCTTCCTCCCCCCCACCCTTCGCTTCGCACCCCCCCCCCCCCACTCTCCCCTCACAGTTCCTTCTCACCCCCGTCACTCTCTCCCCTCTCAGTCCCTTCTCACCCCCCCCCCTCAGTCCCTTCTCACCCCCCACTCACCCCCCCTCTCAGTCCCTTCTCACCCCCCCCAGTCCCTTCTCACCCCCCACTCACCCCCCCCCTCTCAGTCCCTTCTCACCCCCCCCCAGTCCCTTCTCACCCCCCTCTCAGTCCCTTCTCACCCCACCCCACTCTCCCCTCTCAGTCCCTTGTCACCCCCCCCCCCATTCTCCCCTCTCAGTCCCTTCTCACCCCCCCACTCTCCCCTCTCAGTCCCTTCTCACCCCCCCCCACTCACCCCCCTCTCAGTCCCTTCTCACCCCTCCCCCACTCACCCCCCTCTCAGTCCCTTCTCACCCCCCTACTCACCCCCCTCTCAGTCCCCCCCACAAAAGATAAACACACCCATGTATACACCTCCGGTGCGGTCCGGCTATTCCCTGTGTGATCCGGTGGTGGCTGCAGGGAAGAGGAGGGAGCGCCAACAACTGATGGGACCTGAGAACCTCCGAGAGACGTCACCACTCCGGGCTTTACCAGCCATTGCCAAGCGCTGTCTTCTCTCACCTGCAGCTGACTGACACGGGATCATGTGACCAGACCGGAGCGAGCTGAGAAGTCCATTCTTCCAGAAGCACATTTGTCAGGTCAGACACTGGTGTCGGGGGAGGGGCACTGATGTCGGGGGAGGGGCACTGGTGTCGGGGGAGGGGGCCTGGCTCGCAGTCTCCGCTCTAATTCATCCCAAAGGTGTTCTATGGGGTTGAGGTCAGGACTCTGTGCAGGACAGTCAAGTTCCTCCACCCCAAACTGGCTCCTCCATGTCTTTATGGACCTTGCTCTGTGCACTGGGGGGCAGTCATGTTGGAACAGGAAGGGGCCATCCCCAAACTCCTCCCACAAAGTTGGGAGCAGGAAATTGTCCAAAATGTCGCCTGAAGAGTTCCCTTCACTGGAACTAGAGGGCCAAGCCCAACCCCTGAGGAACACCCCCACACCATAATCCCTCTCCACCAAAACTCTACACTTGGCACAATGCAGTCAGGCAAGTACCATTCTCCTGGCAACCGCCAAACCCAGACACGCCCATTGGATGGCCAGACAGAGAAGCGTGATTGGTCCCTCCACAGAACATGCCTCCTCTGCTCTAGAGTCCAGTGGCGGCGTGCTTTACACCACGGCATCTGACGCTTTGCATTGCACTTGGTGATGGAAGGCTTGGATGCAGCTGCTCGGCCATGGAAACCCATTCCATGGAGCTCTCTACGCACTGTTGTTGGGCTCATCTGAAGGCCACACCAAGTTTGGAGGTCTTTAGCTATTGACTCTGCAGACAGTTGGTGACTTCTGCGCACTGTGCGCTTCAGCATGCGCTGACCCCGCCCTGTCATGTGACGTGGCCTACCACTTGGTGGCTGAGTGGCTGTTGTTCCCAGTGGCTCCCACTTTGTTATAATCCCACTAACAGTTGAGCGTGGAATATTTAGTAGCCAGGAAATGTCACGGATGGACTTATTGCCCAGGTGGCCACCTATCACGGGACCACGCTTGGAGTCACTGAGCTCCTGAGAGTGATCCATTCTTTCACCAATGTTTGTAGAAGCCGTCTGCATGCCTAGGGGCTTGATTGTATACACCTGTGTCCATGGAGGGGATTGGAACACCTGAATCACATGATATGGAGGGGATTGGAACACCTGAATCACATGATATGGAGGGGATTGGAACACCTGAATCACATGATTGGGAGGGGATTGGAACACCTGAATCACATGATATGGAGGGGATGGAACACCTGAATCACATGATATGGAGGGGATTGGAGCACCTGAATCACATGACATGGAGGGGATTGGAACACCTGAATCACATGATATGGAGGGGATTGGAACACCTTAATCACATGATTGAGAGGGGATTGGAACACCTGAATCACATGATTGAGAGGGGATTGGAACACCTGAATCACATGATAGGGAGGGGATCGGAACGCCTGAATCACATGATTGGGAGGGGATTGGAACACCTGAATCACATGATATGGAGGGGATTGGAACACCTGAATCACATGATATGGGAGGGGATTGGAACACTTGAATCACATGATTGGGAGGGGATCGGAATACCTGAATCACATGATATGGAGGAGATTGGAACACCTGAATCACATGATTGGGAGGGGATTGGAACACCGGAATCACATGATATGGAGGGGATTGGAACACTTGGATCACATGATTGGGAGGGGATTGGAACACCTGAATCACATGGTTTGGAGGGCGGGGACAATACTTGGGGCAGTACAGTGTATGTAGTACTTCGAGGCGCTGTTCACATTTGGGGGTAGCAGGAACGCGGACAGAATGGAGTATTTCTGCAAATGAATGTACAATGTGCTAAAAATGCAGAACACGCTTGCAGGCCGTTATGTTCCGCCGTAGGTGCAGGTGGCAGCCACACGTTATTCCTGCAGAATATTCACACATAACACGCAAAACACACATAACACGCTTGGCTCGTGTGCAAAGTTTGGTACACAAAGTTCTTTAAATCTTTATTAATATTCAAACATTTCGCAAAGCCAAGGTACATAACCCCCAACATTGGTGTCAGTGGATGCAATAATAACCCCCAACATTGGTGTCGGGATGCAATAATAACCCCCAACATTGGTGTCGGGATGCAATAATAACCCCCAACATTGGTGTCAGTGGATGCAATAATAACCCCCAACATTGGTGTCGGGATGCAAGAATAACCCCCAGCATTGGTGTCAGTGGATGCAATAACAACCCCCAGCATTGGTGTCAGTGGATGCAAGAATAACCCCCAGCATTGGTGTCAGTGGATGCAATAATAACCCCCAGCATTGGTGTCAGTGGATGCAATAATAACCCCCAACATTGGTGTCAGTGGATCCAATAATAACCCCCAACATTGGTGTCAGTGGATCCAATAATAACCCCCAGCATTGGTGTCGGGATGCAATAATAACCCCCAACATTGGTGTCAGTGGATGCAATAACAACCCCCAACATTGGTGTCAGTGGATGCAATAATAACCCCCAGCATTGGTGTCAGTGGATGCAATAACAACCCCCAACATTGGTGTCAGTGGATGCAATAATAACCCCCAGCATTGGTGTCGGGATGCAAGAATAACCCCCAGCATTGGTGTCGGGATGCAATAATAACATACATTGCAGGTCGGGGGTGTTCTGCTATGTAAACCCCCTTCATTGGAAGCCCCTTAACCTTTTTGCATTGGTGGTCAGTGGCCCTTCAGGGTGCAGCATGGAGGAGCAAAAAAAACTGTCAGTGGCCCCTGGTGCAGCTCTGTACAGACGAATAGTTCTCACCCCTTGTGGCAGTGAGGGGGTTCACTAACATTGGCACTAGCCAGCAAAGGGGTTAATACATTTGTGTTCAACAACCTACCTCCATCCCGCTGAGCTCCGCCCACTAAAACACCATTCACCTGAACAGCCAATGGTGTGCCAGGACCAGTCAGTTCACATTTCTCTCCCACGTGATTGGGTATTGGAAGTGAATCCTGTCACCTTATTCATTAACATTCACCCCGGAATGTGAACAGCCCCTCCCCCCTTAGTAAATCACCCCCCCCCACATTCTGATTTCATGTTACAGTATATAGGACTGTCTGTGTTCCCAAAACATCCAATCACATTCCAGTGAACGTTTTCCTTTCCTTGTGGGAATGCGGTGGATTAGCGGCACGTGTTGGCGCTCTGCGCTGAGCGAAGCGATTATATCCTACAATTGGGGGATTCACGGCGGGATCTGCATGGAGTACAAATCCCAAATCTTCATATATTGGTGAAGTCTTTATTTACATTCTGAGCCTCGGCACTGGCTGGACTCTACCGCTGTGACAACCAATCCGGTGTGAGCGACTTGGGGATAGAGTGCGGGGTCACCGGGGATGGAGTGCGGGGTCACCGGGGATGGAGTGCGGGGTCACCGGGGATAGAGTGCGGGGTCACCGGGGATAGAGTGTGGGGTCACCGGGGATGGAGTGCGGGGTCACCGGGATAGAGTGTGGGGTCACCGGGGAGGGAGTGCAGGGTCACCGGGGATGGAGTGTGGGGTCATCGGGGATGGAGTGCGGGGTCACCGGGGATGGAGTGCGGGGTCACCGGGGATGGAGTGCGGGGCCACCGGGGATGGAGTGCGGGGCCACCGGGGATGGAGTGCGGGGTCATCGGGGATGGAGTGTGGGATCACCGGGGATGGAGTGTGGGGTCACTGAGGATGGAGTGAGGAGTCACCGGGGATGGAGTGCGGGGTCACTGAGGATGGAGTGAGGAGTCACCGGGGATGGAGTGCGGGGCCACCGGGGATGGAGTGCGGGGTTACCGGGGATGGAGTGTGGGGTCACCGGGGATGGAGTGCGGGGTCACCGGGGATGGAGTGCGGGGTCACCGGGGATGGAGTGCGGGGTCACCAGCTCCTCGCCGGAGAACATTCCCACCAATGCGAGGAAATATACAAACACGTGTGCGTCACTCCTCCTGCAGGGCGTGCGTTCCATGACCAGGCTGACCGCAAGTGGGGCGATTCCTTGTCCAATCACATTCATCCATTCATGTTCTGTATGAAACCGCAAACAATCGATAAACTGGAAAAATATCCGAGACGGAAATCCCTCCCCCACAGGTGATCAATACCCGGAGATGTCTGTATGAGGCGGGGGGGGGGGGAGATCCGCCCTGCTGCGTCACATGACACCCATGGCCGCAAACGCATTTCGAGGAGCGGGGAGCACCTTTGGCACTTCAAGAACGGCAATTCATTGTTACAATTGGATAAAACGATGGAGCGCTGTCAGTGTGAAGGTTCCCGCTGCCCTCCACAACGCTCCCCCCCCCCCCCACCCCCCCCCCCCCCCCCCACCCTCCCCACCCCCCCCCCACCCCCACCCCCCCCCCCCCACCCCTCCCTACCCCCCGCCCCCCCCCACACACCCCCCCCCCCCCCTCCACACTCCCTCCCACCCCCCCCCCACTCCCTCCCCCCCCCCCCCACACCCACCGCCCCCCCCCACTCCCTCCGCCCCCCTCCACACTCCCCTCCGCCCCCTTCCACGCGCCCTCCTCCACGCGCCCTCCGCCCCCCTCCACACTCCCACCACTGCCCTCCACATGCTCACCGCACCCTCCACATGCTCACCGCCATATCCACACTCCCTCTGCCCCCCTCCACGCGCCCTCCGCCCCCCTCCACACTCCTTCCGCCCCCCTCCACACTCCCTCCGCCCCCCTCCACGCGCCCTCCGCCCCCCTCCCTCCGCCCCCCTCCACACTACCTCCGCCCCCCTCCACGCGCCCACCGCCCCCCTCGCCTTTCTAATTATGGAGCGTCTCGTGTGTATAGCTCCTCCCACTGCGGATCTTCCCCGTGTGGGCGATATTCCAAGAATTCTTCCCCCGCTGCGTTTTCCGCCTCCATTCAGTCCTCTGCATCATGTGATAGAAAAATAGAAGAACCGCATATAGTCCAGAATGCTCCAAATCGTTTGAAACTCCGCCCATCAATGACATCACCAAGGATTTTTCCGACGCGTTTCTTTGACAAGGCCGGCTTGGACGAAACGCATTCAGACGGATCCTGGGTGACATCATCGATGGGCGGAGCTTCTGACATATCGATTGCGATGTACTTTAGGGACTAGCGGTGGAGAGCGAAATCGTTTGAAACTCCGCCCATCAATGACATCACCAAGGATCTCACCGATGCGTTTCATATCTTTGACAAGGCCGGATTGGACAAAACGCATTCAGACGGATCCTGGGTGACATCATCAATGGGCGGAGCTTCTGATATCTCGATTGCAATGTACTTTAGGGACTAGAGCGGGAACCGCCCCCCCACCCCTCCCCTCCCCCCATGTGTATCAGAGCGCGGTGGGGAGTATTCTATGTTCTTGTGATGATTTTCTTTTTCTTGACCCCTCAACACCAAGAGCCAATCACAGCAATCCCGAGATACAGACGCCGCGGCACCTCCCGGGTATGAAAGCCCGCCCTAACCCTAAGGACCGCCCTCGCGGAACGTACTGCGGATGGGCCCAGCGATGTACCTGAGCATCACTGGCCTCCTCTGGGCGCATGCGCCCCTCCCCGCCGACTCCCGCTGTGTCAGCAGGTCCCGACCAATGATTCGTGGCTGAGACCTGCTGACCGGCCGTGTCCAATCACAGCCCAGAGCCAATGGGGTATCTTAGTTACCTGCCGCCCTAGGCAAGAGTAAGATTTGGGGCCCCTCCCCATCCAGATTGGAGCCAGTGATGGAAGAGAAAGAGACCCGCTTTCCTTCCTTTGTCACCCCCAGGGGCGGACTGACCATTCGGGCAACTCGGGCACTGCTCAAGGGCCCGGGGTCAGTGGGGGGCCCCATGAGATGCCCCTGTTACCTTTGATAGGCTTTTTTGGGTGTGGTTTGAGTGTGGGCGAGCACACAGGGGCCCCATAATCCCCTATTGCCCGGGGGCCCCATGCGTTGTCAGTCTGCCCCTGGTCCCCCCCAAAAAATGCCACCCAAGGCAAACGCCTTGTTTGCCTCGTGGTAGAAACGCCCCTTCCTGGAGCTCTGTGCTGACCGTCAACACAGAGCTCTGCACAGAGGGAGCGATCTCTCTGCTTCTTCTCCCTGCGGAGGGCGATAAAACAAAGAGATTTTTAGTAATCAGCCGCACATCGAACACAAATGTCACACTCGTCGTACACAGTCAACCCTTTGATTGCCCCGAGACGTTAACCCCTTCCCGGCCGGAGTCATTCATACAGAGACAGTGTACAGGATTATCACTGAATTGGTGTCACTGGGGGTGTCAGCGGCAGTCAGTTCCCCCTCCCCCCTTCCCCAGCGTCAGTCAGTGCAGGATTGCCCGCCGCCTTCCCGCTATAATTCGCAGCCTCCAGTCTATAGACCGCCATTTGTAGGTGAGAACATTCACCATCCAATCAATAGACACGTCGTGGGAGTTACTTCTACAAATGACGCGGAGAAGAATACGGCCTAAATTTAGGAAGACATTCGATTGTTTTTTTGGAAATGTTTTGTAGCAGAAATGAAATATTAGTTATTTTTCAAAACTTTTGGTTTTTTTGTTCATTTATATAATTAAAAAAAAACAGTATGTTCGAATACACAAAAGAAAGTTCTGTTGATGTGGGGGGGGGGGGGGAATGATTTACATTTCATTTGTGTCCAGCGTTGCATGACCCGC